GCACAGCTCTCGCTCACGAGGGTCTACTTCCCATCTTCCATTCAGTTTCCCCGCTGCTGCTCAAGTGCTTGCCTTTGTGTGTCTGTCCTCCTTTAGCTGGCGCCTGAGTGTCCGCTAAGGAGACCCGTCTCCTCGTGCACAGGGAGCGGTCCCTGGGACTGCGAGCTCTCTGCCCCTGGCTAGGTGCATACACATGCACCGTGTGCCGCATTGTAACAACCTGCCCTCGCTATTCCTGAACGTGCTTATTGTCTGACCTGGTTGAGGCCCAGCATTGATTCTGAGAGAACAATCAGGACAGAAAGCTTTGGTGGCCATAACCCTTCTATGACACCCCGAGCGGCCACCGACTGCAGACCCGCGCGCCCCTGTCCCTTCGTGGCAGGTTAGGTGCACCAGGGCGTAGCGCAGTGACGGGATCTGCATCCGCTGGCTTCCGCCCCGCGAGCAAGAGCCCAGCGGCTTCCAACACCTCAGGCGACGACGGCGGCCGTCCTGCTCAGTATGATGGAAAGTGGGATCCCTGGCTGATGGAACTGTCCAGATTACAGCGTGCATGAACATAGGCTCTCCAAGTGTCACTGCTGTCTCAGGTTCATCTACATGGTGGGTCACGGGCTTGGGCGGTCCAGGAGGACGGCAGGGTAAGGAACCATGGTAAAGTTTAGGGGAGATGCTTGCGACATTCATTCAGCTCAAATTGATAACGACTACGGCACGGTATGGTAAGCTACAGGCATGCCGAAAAGTGGGCACAGGGAAGGGAGGGAGGGTCCTGATGTGCAAAACGTGACGCACGCCTGGGGGAGACAGAAAAGCATCTGTCCCCATGGCAAGAATATTCTTGATAGCACAGCTGCATCAAGCAGCAAGACTGGTGATGGCCTTGAGGGCACACTGTACTGATGGAGGCCCTGTTAGTTCCTGCTTCAGCCAGAGCACACCTTCAATGAGGGTAAATGGTGGACTGAACAGACGTCAAGGTGCTGGTGCTGCAACTCAATGGTTCAACACACCCTATACACTGCCTGCCCTGCTCCATTCCCGCAGGTTTGAACACACATGCTGCCCCTTGGCAAGCCACAACTCCAATCACACCAAGCCACCTACATTGAACGTACACCCTACTGGATCTCCATCTCGTTGAACTTCTGGATATCCGACCTGCACAAGGTTCGATCTGACTTAAGAGTGACCAAGAACTGGGCATGGCAGGAAATGGGACCCCCGGTCCATTACAGGCAATTCCCTCATCACCCATTTGCAATCTGGGTGCCTCACGCACTGCTGCTTACCTGGTGAGCACACCAGCGGGAGCTTCTGTTGCATGGGGTACGAGGGGTGGCACGCAAGCCATCGGGTGGTGATGAGGAGCTGGTGGCTGCTGGGCCGAATGCTGTGGCTGAGTAAGGAGCATTGGGAATGCATGTTAGAGGGGACAACAGAATGTATGTGCAGCAGTTTGTGCCCTGGGACACAAGACATGGGCCCAAGTACATATCAGCAAACAGAACAAGCATCACCAGTGCGATCAGCCAGGAACCACACCTTCAGCGTAGCACGGTGCGTACAGTCAGGGAACAGATTGGCCATCGCGTGGACATTCTCTGCTTCACAAGAGAATTCTGAGGAAGAACCGTGGTGGGAACTGCAGATGTTGAGATGAGAGTGGGCGGGGAACAATCAGAATCGGTGGGTGGTAGAGTATTCACCTGTGGCAAAGCACAACAAGGTAGATACATCCCTACCCAGCTTCACATCCATGCTGCACGAGATGCTTTGTACCTGAGCGCTGGAGGATGGTGCTCCGCAGGAGATGAAGATGACTGGTGTTGCACTTCTCCTGCTGCAAGTGTTTCCTCACAAAGTTTCTGACCAAACGTCTCCTTCCAAGACTGGTCTTTCATGCATAGAGCCACGATGGCTTCCTGCAAGAATACATGTGGAGGCATCTTGCAGGGCTGCAGTGATCACAGCAGCGTAGACAAGCTGGCAGCTGAGCTCATGGCAAGTGATCTCGCAAGCCAGAGAAGCAACCCTTCACCAAGAGGCTTACCATGAAGGTGTCGTTCATGACACTCCACATAGCAGGATTGTTCATAGTCTGAGTGAGCTTTGCTTGAATTCTGTGATTGGAAGCAGGGCATGCGAGAACTTGAACGGGATAAGGACCACGCGCGAGCAAGGTAAGGCATTTTCGCATTCAATGGCACAGAAGAGGTGCATAGGGCACATTAATCTGGGATGGAAGACCCCCGTGTCAGCGCTCACAACCAGGCAATTCCCTCATCACCCATTTGCAATCTGGGTGCCTCACGCACTGCTGCTTACCTGGTGAGCACACCAGCGGGAGCTTCTGTTGCATGGGATACGAGGGATGGCACGCAAGCCATCGGGTGGTGATGAGGAGCTGGTGGCTGCTGGGCCGAATGCTGTGGCTGAGTAAGGAGCATTGGGAATGCATGTAAGAGGGGACTACAAATGTATGTGCAGCAGTTTGTGCCTAGGGACACAAGACATGGGCCCAAGTACATATCAGCAAACAGAACAAGCATCACCAGTGCGATCAGCCAGGAACCACACCTTCAGCGTAGCACGGTGCGTACAGTCAGGGAACAGATTGGCCATCGCGTGGACATTCTCTGCTTCACAAGAGAATTCTGAGGAAGAACCGTGGTGGGAACTGCAGATGTTGAGATGAGAGTGGGCGGGGAACAATCAGAATCGGTGGGTGGTAGAGTATTCACCTGTGGCAAAGCACAACAAGGTAGATACATCCCTACCCAGCTTCACATCCATGCTGCACGAGATGCTTTGTACCTGAGCGCTGGCGGATGGTGCTCCGCAGGAGATGAAGATGACTGGTGTTGCACTTCTCCTGCTGCAAGTGTTTCCTCACAAAGTTTCTGACCAAACGTCTCCTTCCAAGACTGGTCTTTCATGCATAGAGCCACGATGGCTTCCTGCAAGAATACATGTGGAGGCATCTTGCAGGGCTGCAGTGATCACAGCAGCGTAGACAAGCTGGCAGCTGAGCTCATGCCAAGTGATGTCGCAAGCCAGACAAGCAACCCCTCCACCAAGAGGCTACCATGAAGGTGTCATTCATGACACTCCACATAGCAGGATTCTTCATAGTCTGGGTGAGCTTTGCACGAATTCTGTGATCAGAAGCAAGGAATGAGTAACGTCAACGGGCTGGGGACCATGTCTGGACAAGCTGACGGGACTACGCGTTCAATGATACAGGGAAGTGCTCCACAAGGCACAATCATAGGAGATGAGGGTCCCTGTGTCAGCGTATATAACACCCAAATGTTCCAATCCAAGCCTTGGACACTCCATGCTCTGGACCACTTACGCATTGTCCATCTCGGTATCCTCTTTCATCCTAACAGTCGGTGGTGGCAAGCTAAGCGAGGTCTTGGTCGTGTCATCATCCATAGGTGAAGCCCAATTCGTAGGGTGCCTAAAAAAGGCCATTCCGTAGTAGTTCTGCATGTTGGTGACAGTGAAAAGGATGTGCATTGTGCGTGCCAGCCGCTATAGGAACATTCATCTTTGTCAATGTGGCCTGCCCATACTGTTTTACTCCAACCAGTCGTTCGGGGCGCTCACGTCACAGTGCAAGCCATGCAGTGCTGGGTCGGAGGATCTGGGTGTGACTCCAGTTCTCCGAGATTGGGCTCTTTCCTCTGCTGCCTGATTAGCACAGGCCAGACTGCGGTACAGAGAGCGGAGAAGTGAGGCGCGCGCACGGTCAGTCGGGTACGCGCCGACTGCATGAGCGTTAGCTTCTGAATAGAGTATGCACGACGGTAACAAGAAAAAGGCCTTTGATCAATGTATATGACGTACACTTTGCGCCAGTCTTCAGGGGTCATGTTGTCTATAGTGCGCGACATCTCCCTCCAAGAGAAGTTCTGTCGCACGCAATGCGTTTAATATATCGACACTCTTAAAGTCTCATCTTGGGGCGAAATTCGCAATTCATTGTCGCCCGAGTGGAAGGCGCCTTCCGGACACTCCCCCTCGGCGAAATCCATGGGATGCACCGGAAGACCGGACAGTAAGGAGGACGCGGTACTGCATCGCCAAAGCCATCAGTAGCAGGTGCCACTCGGGAGAGGGTACGCTTCCCTTCTTCGCCCTCAATACCCAGTTTCCTTGAAGTCTGATTCATGAGAAGGTAGGTTAAAACTCCCGTGTCACAGGCTACGCAGGCTGGGAGGGGAGTCGGACCATGGTGCCAGTATGAGAAGCTCCAAGCAAAGAGTACCAAGCTTGATACCTCGGGATCACCGCGCATTGTTCGCTACGCGCAGATTACTTCCACAGTAGATCTTTTGAGCACAGGATAGTGGGCTCTCTGATTTGGAGCGATCTGAGGTTTGCTTCTCAAATGCGAATGGTATCATAGCTGCTCAAATCAATCCCATGCTTGCCTGTTAAGGCTGAACATTCCCCACAGTTGGATCCCGCTGTGTACTTTCAGGAAGAGATTCAAGCGAATGTTCCCCGAGCTTGCTTCTGGGAGAGGTCAAGTGTGTGCTGCAGCAGGGCTCTCTCACAGGTCTGCTTCACAGTACAGGGAGCCAGCCAAGAGGTCAGGGGTGATGCTCTGGCCAGGACACGCCTCCCACACCCATTGTCACTCTTCTCTTGGTCGATGTTCGGCATGGTGTTGCAGGGCCGGGGCGGGAGCAGGTGGCAGCCCCACTCAGCAAGAGATCGAGCATGAAGTCGTCATGTGGTGCTCTCCCCGAGCCCTCCCTCCCTGCTCATCGATGTCCGTGCTCTGCGCAGTGCCCGCGCCGGCCGACCATGTCCACGAAACCCAATGCACATGCCGCCTTGGCTGTAGCAGCTCCACCGCAGACCAAGCACATGAGCACACGTTGCGGGGGGACCTGGCCGGGTCCACGACACCTTGCACCTGGGGATGTGTGGAGGCGCGCCAGCCGCTGCACAGCACGCACCAACACACCGCGCCCCACCGCTCAGCCGGGCACGCCTCCCTCCCCTGCACCAGCGAGGAGGTGGCCCAGCAGCCTTGCCACCACGCCCACGTGCAGGCTGTTGCCCAGCAGGGCGTAACGCTGGCGCAGCGTGACGGCTGGCGGGAAGGCGAAGGCCGGGGGGAAGCCGTGCAGGTTTGCGATCTCCCGCGGCGAGAAGAAGCGCAGGTCCAGCGCCCTCAGCGCCTCGGCCAGGGATGCCGCGCTGGGCGCGGGGGCGTCCCCCCCCCTGCCGCCCCCGCCCGGCACCAGGCAGGGGAATCGCTGCATCACGCCACGCACGCTGTCCTCGCTGGCCAGCGTGAGCACCGACCCAGACCCCTGCGCGTGCAAGGCGCAGGGATGGGGGTGTCCGGTCGGTGGGGCGTCCCATCCATGGGTGTGCGCCAGTGGGGGGAAAGCAGGCCCGCCGGTGTGCGAGCGCCGGTGGGGAGGAGCCCGTGCCGCCTCCCCGCCGCTGCCAAGGACATCTGGACCAAGACCCCGGGCTCCACGCCCACCCAGCCGCCCTTCCCTCCCGCCCACCTTGATGTACTGGCCATACGTCTTGGTGAAGCAGCAGGTCCGCAGTGCTGAGGGGGTGACGACGTCCATGCACCAGCCATTCTTCAGGAGGGTGACATCTGGGACCCGGAAGGGCTCGTCGCATGTCGCAGACGCCGGTGCTGCGAGGGGCGGCCCCGATCCTGCTGCTGCGAGGGACGCCCCCGATCCTGCTGCTGCGAGGGGCGGCCCCGATCCTGGTGCTGCGAGGGGCGGCCCCGATCCTGCTGCTGCGAGGGGCGGCCCCGGTCCTGCTGCTGCGAGGGGCGGCCCCAATCCTGCTGCTGCGAGGGGCGGCCCCGATCCTGGTGCCGCGGCCGCCGCTCCCGTCGGCGACGGCGGTGGATCCTCGGCTGCTGCGTCGCCGCGGCCCACCTCCGCCTGCACATCCCCACTCCCTCTATTCGTTGCCTTGAAGCGGATGTCGTCGGGGAGCTTGAGCCGCACGCCGCCCGCCAGCTCCGCCGCCGGGTCGGCCTCCAGGAAGTCCGCCAGCGGCCGGCGCGTCGTGGGCTCCCGGGCCGGCAGGACGGTGGGCTCCCTTCCCTCCCCCCTCCGCACGACGACAAAGGGCAGCGTGTGCCGTGCGAGGCCGGCGCCGCGCGCCCGCGTGGCCAGCGCAAAGTACCGCGGCCGGGAGTAGGGCAGGCCCAGGTCGGTGGGCGAGGCCAGCACCTCCAGCACGGCATAGCCCAGGTCGCGCAGCGTGCGCAGCATGGCGGCGCAGGTGTCGGAGGCCTCGAAACCCACCACGTTCTCCAGGAGGAGGGCGGTGGGCGGGTGCTGCATCTCCCCCAGCCGCCGGAGCAGGGAGAGGAAGGAGGCGGCGCGCCCGTCGGCCGACTGCCGCTGCAGGCCGCGCCGGGTGTAGGGCTGGCAGGGCGGGGAGAGCAGCCAGAGCTCGGCGCGCAGCCGGTCCAGGCGCGCCGCGGTCAGCGAGTCGATGTTGGACTGGGAGGGCCGGCGCCCAAAGTTGTGCTGGTAGACGTCGTTGGCGGTGTCGTTGATGTCGAAGGCCGTCACCACCTCCGCGCCAGGGACGGCCAGGGCCAGCGCATAGTGCAAGCCTGGAGCGAGGGAGGGAGGGGGTGGTTTAGTGAGGCGGGCTTCGTGTGCACCGGCTGGGGAAAGTGCCAAAGGAGTCACAGCTTGGAGGAGAGGGTGACGAGTGGAGAGGGGAAAGGAAAAGGCATCCGCGATGGAAGCCCAGCCAGCAGAGCTGCCTCACACCCACCGATACCCCTGTCAGCATCCCACCTCCAAGGCCGCTGTAGAACTCCACCGCCCGCATCGGTCCGATGAGCACCGTATGCTAGCCTTGCAACCTCTAGAGCGAGCGAGCCAGCCAATCTGGCCTACCAGCCCCTCTCACCTCAGCCGGCCGGGCACCATGTATGACATGCGGGGTGCTGCAAGGCCCACAACCTTCCTATGCACGCATGAACATACAGATCAGCAGTTGGAGAAACATCAAACTTTTATGTCGACTGTGCAAGGTGTATTGGCGTCCATCCGGGTGTTTTGCTCACGGGCATCACGCTGCTCCGTGCAATTCGTGCGTGCCCTCGGCCCCAGCATGTTGCCCAGGTCCCTCCTCCTGCTTGGGTGCGGCTTGAGGCTCGGCTCTATAAAAGTGCTTGAGCTAATGCAACACGGTATCGAAACGTACACCGGCCTTCGGATCGTGCATCCAGCTGCTGGGAAAGGCCTCGTGTTTGAAAGACGTGCAGATCAGGGGTGTCCTGCCAGGGTCTGAGTGCGACTCTGGAGACGTCCAGCTTGGCATACAACATACATTCCGGGCGCATACACGGTGGTGAAGGTATGCAGGTCCTTGTTGCTGATTCCTGCTCTTGGGCTGTGACCCGACATGTCCGTCGCAAGTGGGCATGTCGCGAAGGTCGAATGCGAACGTGGTCTACAGGATTCCCTGAACTGAGGAGCTGGCATATTGCATGCAATTTCGCATTTTTGCGACGGCATGGGTGGACTTTCGAGTCGTGTTGGACGTCTGACACGAGCGTGACCCAAGGTCCCCTACACCCTCCTGCCAAGCCTTCGACCCACAACTTGGATCATCTTCGTTGATATTTTCACTACACTGCTGACCCCAACACCCTGCACCCCATTCCAGTTCTTGGCAAGACGCCTTTTTCGGGAGCAGAGCGCGGCGTCCTGAGCGGCATGGCATGGCGCCTGAGGTAGCTGCATATTTCTACGTGATCGCTGGTAGATAGAGTGGGATCCTTGGTCGCAGCAGCCAGCCAGTCAGCTGAGGCATTGGTTGCCAGGATGCCAAAGCGCGAGGCTTCCACCCTAGCCGCCCCCGCGCGGACCAGCCGCAGTGGACGAATCGTCAAACCCAAGGTGTGAGTGGTTGGTGTCATATGAACTAGACATCCCCCCGGGAAACCTGTCTGTGGCCGGGATGTCATCCCAGCCGTAGACCGTGCTCCCTGAGCTGCTCTGGGCCAGCCTTCACGTTGCCGGCCCCTTCTCAGGTGTGGGGCGACGGCACCCTAGCCGCGGTACCCACCCTGCTAGCAGGCGGGGCTGGCACCGACCCTGATGGCGAGGCCGAGGCCAACTCTGGCAGCTCCGGCAGGACAGCCGGTGGCCCAACTGCATCGTGCGTGGGAGGGGGGGTGCATGGGCGGTGGAGGCGTAGCATAGGCATGAGTGGTCTTGGAGGGCAGATGGTCTGAATGCATCGCCTCCCCGCTGCTTGTCGACACTGGCCTGGGGCTGCAGAGCGTGGGACTGGTCGATCGCCCGCCAGATGCCTGTGTGAATGGTGGGGACTCGTTTGTCCCGGCTCCAACCTCGAGCCTCGTCCCTGCGCAGGGAGGAGGAGGCGGCGAGCAGCCCGCGCGAGGAGGCGGACGACGGCGCCTGGCCTCGGCGCCCTCCCGCCCCCGCCGGCCCCGGCCGCCCGCCTGCCGGCCCCGAGGGGGGCGGCATCTTCAAGCAGGCTGCGGTGGAGGTGCTGCGCGCCGAGCGGCGGCTGATGAGCACGGGCGAGATCGCGCGCCTGGCCCTGGCCCGGCGGCTGGTCCGCTGCACGGGGAAGACGCCCGAGGCCACCATGGCCAGCGCGCTGTACACCGACATCAAGCGGCGGGAGGGGCGCAGCGTGTTCATCCGCCCCCACGAGGGCATGTTTGGGCTGCGGGAGTGGATCGAGCTGGGCATTGGCTTCCGGGACGACCACGCGGAGGACATGGCCCGCCGCGTCCGAGACGGCTATAGTGGCTACCTGGCCGCCGTCCCGGGCGTCCCCCCATCGGCCCTGGGCCTGGCCGCGCCGGGGTATGCACCCGGCCTTTTGCCCGGCCTCGCTGTGGCAGTCCAGGCCGCCGCTGGGGTCGCCCGGCCGCCCGGGGCTGTAGCAGTGCCCCCCGAGGCAGGAGACGTGAGCGGACTCATGGATCTCCTTTGTGCCGCAGAGGAGTTGCGCCGGTCCAGCTCCCCCGACCCGGCGCTGGGGGCACCGGCGGCGGCAGGAGCGCTGGCAGTGGGCTCGGGCGCGGGTGCCGGGCGCGACGACGAGCCGCTGGGGCCCTCGCCGCCTGCCACCAGTGCGGCGGCCAGGACCTCAGACGCCTGGCACGACGCCGGCGACCGTCTCACGCGCCGGGAAGGCGCCCGCCCGACGACGCCCGACGGCGCGGGTGCCGAGCTCCGCCTGGACGACCCCGACGCCGCTCGGGACGCGGACGCCGAGCGCCCAGCGCCGCCCCCCCCGCTGCACGCTGCAGCCCGCCTGGCGGAGGCGCAGGTGATGCGGCTGGAGGCGGACCTCGGGCCGGGCCACCCCGCCGTGGGCAGGGCCTACGTTGACCTGGCGCGGCTCTACACCGCCTCATGCGCGTCGTGCACAGCGCGGCAGCTGGCCGAGGCGGCCCTGACGCGCGCGTCGGAGGTGCTGGCCACGTGCCAGGTGAGGGGGATGTGTGAAGGGAGGGGGTGAGGGAAGTAGGAAACAAGCAGGTCAGGCTGCAGCGAGAGTGCCAAAGAGTGCTGCTTCATGTTTGGGCAAGTGCGTGGTGAGCGTTGCCCAATCTGCCATGGCCACTGTCCGCATTCCGGGGCTGAACTTGCAAAACCCAGGCCCCTTCACAATGCTCTTGCCTTGACCGTGTGCAGGAGGCGCAGCAGCGGCCGCCGACGTGTCGGGACGCTTTCGCCTATTTGCTGCGACCCAAAGAGGGGCCGCCCGATGACGTCCCCGGTGATGTGGGGCTGGGCCGGGACCCTCCTGGCAAGGAGCAGTGGGAGGAGCAGGACACGGCTGGAACGGCTACCCCCGGAGGCTGTGAGCAGCTGGGAGGGCGCGAGGGTGTGGAAAGGGTCGAGCAGTGCGCCACCTTGCCTCCCAAGCAGGAAGAAGTGACGGGGCCGAGCTCATGAGGAAATGGCACCTCACCTCCCCGTGACTGATATGCGATTCCCTGGCCGCAAACTGGTACGCTCTTTATTTAACCGTGTAATCTGTCATGTGAGAAATGTGGATGCCTGGGCAAGCATGCCAGACCGTCCGGATCCGTCCGGGGCGGACGGGGGATCTCCCTTGACCCTTTGACTCTTCTGCATGGCGCCACGGCAGGTCTCCGCCTTCACGGTACATCCTTTCGAGGATCCAGAGATGATCTTACACCCCCTTAAAGAATACTATGAGCGGGATGTCATCGGTAGGGGAACCCAGTCGCCGCATTATATACGAGAATACTTACATCGTGGGGCCGGACGGCCACGGACCGGTGAGGGTCGCAATGCCAAAACCAGTTTACGATCTGCCGCGGTGTTGGTGATATGCCTTTACAAGACAGAGAATCTACCCCCCTTCAATTTCAGGGGAGCAAGTTCGAGCCGGACCGTCTGCAGCGGGAGGTTGAGAATTTGCTCCAGGCCACATGTCAGTCAGCGTTGTACAGCCCACCGGAGCAGTCCAAGGTGAGTGCCCCAAAGGGCATCAGCACATGCCGAGCACCCCATAATATGAGCTGCAGCGCCTTATACCAACTCTCAACCTGGTCAGATGCCAAACCTACTCCTTTAATTGGCATCCTGCGACACACCCATCCCTTGCCTCAATGTCTGCAGCTGGCGCAGGAGCTCGTGGCCGCCGTCAGAGACATGTGTGTTGCCCTGGGCCACTCACGATACAAGTACGCCGTCCACGTCACCTACGGTCAGCGGGCCAATCAAGGCTCCTTGCTCTCCAGCAAGTGCCTCTGGGATGGCCAGACGGATGGTTATGTGACGGCAACCATCGTGAACGAGACCTTGTTCTGCAGTTGCCAGGTGGCATGTGTGATGTGGGAGAGGTGAGGGCTTCGCTGGGTGACTTGAGCACCATAATGAACATCGCCTAGACCCTGGCCTTGTCACCAGTACCCAGACGGGATCATGTTCTCTTCACTTGCAGGTCTTTGCCTTTTACTTTGAGTGACCAGTGCTCGTGTACAGCTGCGTGGTTGCAGGGAAGAGCGTTGAACACACGCATTCACATGACGGCATAGCACTGCAAAGTGAGAGGCCTGACGGGCAGGGCTGCTGCTTCTCAAACAGCCAATGCAGAGGGGTGTCACGAAAGGGGTAGAGAGGGTATCAAATGGCTGTGTGCCTCCCCAACCACCTACAGCTTGGATGCCCGGACAGCCTGGAGTTGTGCCACGAGCTCCTGCTTCCGCACTTTCCCCGTGGCTGTCCGGGGTATGTCACCTGCACCCATGATTGTGATGCTGCGCGGAAGCTGGAAGCCCGCCAAGGCCCCGCCCTGCCGCAGTCGCTGCAGCACCGCCCCGCTGGTGGTGCAGCTGATTTCTGGGCCACTAGCGTCGCCAGCCGTCGGTTCGGGGCGCAACACCACGACGGCTGCCACTGTTTGACCCAGGCGGGGGTCGGGCAGGCCCACCACGACTGCCTCCTGCACAGCGTGGATGGCAAGGAGGGCCTCCTCCACCAGCCCGGCAGGGACGCTCTCCCCCCCCGACCGGATGGTGTCGCTCAGTCTGCCGGACAGGTAGACCGAACCTGAAGAGAGGCGTGGGGTGCAGGGCTGGGGCGGTGGAAACAGGGGGTGGTGGACGGCAGCGGACACCCGCTCGAAAAGGGTTGCACTTTCCCCTGACAGCCTCACCGGCTTGGGCGAGGCATCTCAACTCGTGAGCATTCAGTGCTGTGTTACCAGCCCAAGCTATGTGGAGCATGCTCGTAGCTAGGCCAAAGGCAGTCAAACCTCACTGCAACCTCCTCAACCCACACATGCCGCGACGTCATCCAGCTCACCGTCCTCGGCGACTGCGCCGGCATCCCCCGTCCTCAGCCAACCCTGCGCCATGGACTGGCTCCGATGCGCACCGCCGTCCGCCCAGTACCCCATCATGATGTGCGGTCCCCTTGTTACCAGCTCGCCCTCCCCGCAGCGGGTCACGTCGCCATAGCCTCCCAGCACCGCGACCTCGACGCCGGCTGGCGGCCGGCCCACGGCCCATCCCCCAGCCTGGCGGCGGGCTGGCGCCAGGCTGGCCGGGCCCGGGTCATCCCCGGGTTCTCTCAGGCAGGCAAAGGTCAGGGAGGAAGCGCACTCGGTGAGGCCGTAGGCCGCCCACACGACAGCGCGCGGGAAGAGGGCCGCCAGGCCCGCCAGCGTGGCGCCCTCCAGGCGGCCGGCGCCCACCAGCACCACCCTCATGCCCGCCAGCGGTGCCGGGGTGGCCCCGCCTGCCTTTCTTCGCGCCTCAGCGACAAGGTCATACGCCATAGCCGGCACCAGGGCAATGGCCGTGACTTTGGCGTCTTTGATCATCTGGAGGGCGGCCGCCGGCGACCAGTCGGGGAGAAAGACCTGGCTGGCGCCCGCTTCCAGTCCGGTCAGCGCCCAGTTCAGGCCCCCAACATGGAAGAAGGCGGTGCAGTGCAGGAAGGTGTCACTGCTCGATAGACCCAGCTTTAGATTCATGTAAGGGGTGGGCAGGGGAATGGGGGATACTGGCGGGAGGAGTGGTAGCGCAGAGCTGGTGAGGAGTGGATCCTCGCACCAAGGGCCCAAGCTGAATCCCCCAAGGAGCGACCCTGTAACAAGAAACACCTCCCCACCACACCACCATCCTCACCGTGGCAATCTTGGCGCAACTCTGGGACAGGAGGGCGGCATGGCTGAGCCCCACCGCCTTGGGTTGCTTTGTGGTCCCAGAGGTGAAAATGAGAACGGCAGCTCCATGTGGGCCGGTCAGTGGTGGACCCAGGCATGTCGGCGATGCCGGCAGTAGCAGTTGGGCTGTACAGAAAGTTGCACATGGGAGCAAGGGATGAGCCGCAGCGCCTGGGCAGAGCAGGTGCTTGCAATTCAGTACATTGGACCCAAATGGGATGCCTGCAAGAAGGATATTAGACCAAGACACACTCACATTCCTTGACCGTTCTTGCTCCTGGAGGGGACAGCAAGGACAGCTCCTCTGACGCACCCCTCTGGCCACTACGACCATCCAGAATCAGCAACTCCACATCTGGTCCTTGCCCTGCACCCGCCCGTGCCTTCAATTCCTGTACCACAGCACATGCCCTGCTGGCAAGGCCATGGTCTGTCACCAGCATGCGGCAGCCTAAGCGATGCAGCGCCCCAGCGCTCTGCTCTGCACTCCACCTGCGGTTCAGCGGAACTGCGATGCCGCCCAGAGCTGTGCTGGCCAGCAGGGCTGTCAGGCATCGGGACGTGTTTGCACTCAGGTGGGCCACCAATGTCCCTCTCTGGATGAGGGGCAGGACAGGAGAGGGCGTCATCACTTTTGGCTGGGTGAAGCACCCTCTCCTTACCCCGCCACAGGGTCGGTTTCCACCTACTTTGATTGGCAAAGATAGCCGCATTACAAGAAGGCATGATGCAAATTCAGCGGCCAGGCCTTCCATGCTTGTATGATCTGCTCCCATGAGGCCCCTGTCGGTCAGCGACAAGCTGCCGGGACGAGGCAGCAGGGCATGGGCGATGTGACCATCGCTGCACCCCTCATGCACATTTGGAACCGCCATACCATGAAAAACGCGTGTGAGTGCGACATATGTATATGTACATATGGCATGGATGGATGCGCACCTCTGTGCTGGTCCCCATGGGGCACAATGTTGCAGCGGACCCATCCTTTCCACCCGCAGGAGCCTCTTCGATTTTCGATTCACGTCCGTCAGGTCGTAGTCGGATAATGAAGATGCACGGGACTCGGAATCTGGGTCGCATCTCGAGATGTGGAATTCGTAGTCCATCTTCGAGGAGTCAGCCACCCCTCGCACCCTACGGGAGTAGCACCCCCTGGTCGCAGTCTGTCTCTCAAGTGCCTTGGGTCGTGGGGGCGTCCATGCCGCAGTTGCCCTTTCCGATTGACTCTGACACCCCTCAGCCATCTTGAACTTCCACAAACCAATGAATCCATCCTTTGGAACCGAATTGACCGGGCTGAGCCTGGCCCAGACCAGTGCGTCAGCCGGGCCAACCAGCTCCAGCGAGCACGGACTGTCGCGGTCCAACGAGTCCGGCCCGCTCTCCGCGCGCACCACCTACAGCGACGACGATGGAGCGGTCAAGGTAACGTCGGGGGATGTACTCGCACAGGGCACATCTATCGGAACAACCTGCTCAGCCGTACATGAAGGTGTCAACGTGGTCTTCCCACACACCCAGTGTGCACCTCCCACGGTAGCCGCAGGTGCCCCGCCTTCCCACCTCCTTGCCCTACACCTGACCACCACAGGTGGTCGTCAGGGTGCGGCCCCCGCTCCCCAGGGAACTGAATGGGTACCAGCCGTATCAGAATGCTGTGGCGGTGGACCCCTCCTCCAAGATCATCACCCTGGCCGAGAACCTGGCGGCACTCAGCAACAATGGCGTGGAAAATGGCATGGTGGGTGCGGGGTCGTGTGCCAGATGGTTGGATCACCACGTCTTCCTGCCACCATCCCTGAATCTCGGTGGCCTGTCAGTGGCTCTGCCGACACGGCCGAACGCCCGCATCTCCTCCGCATGCTCAGCGGAGCCGCCTCCCATCCTCCCTGCGTTGCAGCTGTACAACTCCTACCGCTTCACGTTTGACACCGTGTACGGCCCCAGCTCCAGCCAGGAGGAGGTGTATGCGCAGTGCGCCCGGCCGGCGGTCCTCAACGTCCTGCAGGTGGGCGGGGCACGTGGGATGCGGCGCGCCGCACTCGATATGCGGCAGTGCGGTGGGGGTGCGACATGTTTACCCCCGCCATCACCCCCCC